ATTCACAGAATTTACAGAAAATGTTACATTTTTGTGATTTATATCGGGATATGAGATTTTGGTCATATCGCACAGCCCTACTAATCAGATACTAAAATCTCGACAGTAGTCTTCGGTCCCCACCCTGAAGGTGGGTTGACCGTATAGTATATGTTGTATTAGAGTCTAAATCCCAGATTTTATCTGCATTGTGCCAACATTGCTATTTATTTTTGCATGATATGACATATCCTTCTTTACAACAATACATAACTCTATAAAGGTTTTCAAACTCTTGTATATGGAAATTTTTAGTAACATTCACTTGCTTGCCAGTTAACTGTGTGCATCTATATTTATCTGAAAGGACTGTACCCATACAGCTGGAGAGCTCACTGAAGGTATCTATTTAATATATGATTACACAAAAGTAGTTTTTTTCCCAATATTTCCACACTATATATAGTACTGTGCAAGAATCTTGAGACATGCCTCGTGTCATTATATTTTGCCAGAAAAATTGTCAGTTGGTAAAGTGATGTTTTGAAACGTGCAGACATACATGGTAGTAAAGAACATAAGGTAAGAACAGAGTTTTTACAATATTTGGTGTGACCACCTTTATTTCTATGACACTGTTGAACTCATTGAAGCAAGGAGTCTATAGGAATAGTTCTCCAGGCTTTTTGAAGGGCATTCAAAGCTCTTCTTTGGATGTTGCCTGCCTTTTTTTCTGTCTTCTGTCGAGATGATCCCACACTGCTTCAACAATGTTGAAATCCAGGGTCTGGGGAGACCAATCCATGGCTGATAGTGTTCCACTGTGTGTTTTTCTATCCAAGGGATGCTTTTCATTGGCAGTGTGTTGCTGAAAAATGAAGCTATTGCGAATTAGATCCTTTCCCCGGATGGTATTGGATGTGTGATCAAAACCTCATGGTACTTTTCTGTGTTCATAATTCAATTAATTTTGACAAGATCTCCAACACCAGTGGCTGAAAACTCTAATTTTTACTAAGTTTTTCTGCCAGAGTGCTCAAAATGTTAGCTTTCATAATCAACCATGGCCATTTTAATAATCAATAAAATATTGTTTTAGTGATGTGTTTTCTTGTAGTTCACAACCACATTCTTGCATGTGTCTTTCAGTGTCTTAGGCCATTCCTTTTTCAGCATAGGCCACTCAAGAACCTTCATATGATTATTGGTGAACTATTTCTGGATAGCTTTGGCCTTGTGTCTGGGATACAGTTACACGTAAACCCAAACAAGAGGCCGATTGTTTTATGTTCTCATCAAGGATCAAGAATCTAGCTCACACTTTTTGTGATCCTGTGCCTGTACTAAAGGAAGCAAAATTGAATTGCATGCACTCCTGTCCTCCTCTATATAAAGACTGCTACCATGTGGCCAAACAGCTCGAGTTTTGTTTTGCCAGATCACAAACTGGATGACTAGAAAGCTTCACCCTTCTCTAAGCGCTGCTTTCCAAAAGCTAAACAGGTACACTGCAGCCTCTTTCTGGTTCAGGCTGACAAGTTCTCCAAGATGGCCTTGAAGGTCATTCTTAGATTACTGCTGACTTGAACAACCTTTTTGGACCAAGGCTGAGGACACTTTGGGATTACAACTTCTTGAACTTCTTTATGAAGGAATACGCAGTGGTCTTGTGAACTTGGAATCCCTTTCTAATAGCCTTGTAGCTTTGAGTGACCCACTGAAGTTCTTCACCTCAGGTAACATACCATTTAGTATTTGTTTTGCAGTGGGGGCTTGTACTGCTGTTAAAGCCCCACAGACGATTTGGAAAAACTAAAAATCTAAGGGTTCTAGGAACTTTTACATTTTCAGTTGTAATTATCATATACCAACATTTTTTATTTAAGCTTCTAGGAATTTTTGCACTTTTGAGTGCAAAACATGAGTACTTTTGTACTCACATTTTGTATTATTCTGTCTTATTCTATCTCAATTTTTCCCTTCCAATCTCTCCACCACGAGCATGGCCAAAGAGCTGTCAAAGGATGTTAGTGACAGGATTGTAG